AAACTTCCCACCGACATCTTCTTCCTCGAAGGTGAACAAATCACAGCAAAAGATTGTGATCTTCTTTTCTCTGCACTTGTAAACTTCGGCTGGCTCACCGCTTGCGGCCATTTTCACTGACTCCACCGTAAAAGTCAGGTTATTTTCAGTGAAGAAACTCTCAATTGCTTGCTTAGCTAGCTCCACCCCCACAACAGTGTGCCCTTGATCAGCTAACCACAGCATATCGACGGACTTCCCGCACAGGGGAAGGAACACTCGTAGATTCGACCTTTCACCAGTGAGCTCGTCCACGTACTTGATGAGGATGTTATGTACTTGCTCCCGATGCCAGCCAGTTTTACCTTCCTTCCAACGGTCCGTCCAATATTCTGCTGTCGCTGTTTCAGGTTTTCCAGCCATTTTCGCAGGGTGCTAGCGAGTTCTCAATTACGCAACGAGAGATTTGACAGCTTTACCGTCGTAGTGAATGAAATGCGCTTGCGCATTGAAACTGGCCTCCTACGCGGACGCTCTTTGGGCTCGTCACGCAATCTTCCTCCCCCACGTGATGACATCAGACCAGCAAAAATCACCACCAAGCCTCGGTTTAATAATGGGAAATGTAAATTTTATCATGAACAAATTTTCAAAGCAGTAAAGATGAAAAGAATATCCACGTGAAAACAACATGAAGGCAACGAAAGTTTGAGAAAATGTCATGTGACGTAATCTATTTACGCGCCGATCACGTGAAGCTCTTTGGGCTCGTCACGCAATCTTCCCCTCACGTTTGTAATCATGTCACGCTATCACGACTGCTATCACGCTAAGATTTCAAGGAATTGGTATTGTGTACGAAAAAAAACTTTCCCAGGTTTTAAAATGTTCAAAAGTGAGCATTTTTGTATAATCAGCCATATTCAGGCTAGTTTTATAGCACATTATTAGTGAAAAGTCAAATTTTGCTTACGTGTGTTTCAAAACTTTTGATTAAGGTCGAGACCCACCAAAACTCAGTCCACTCTCTCATTGTTAGAACAACGTTAGCAAATGATAATTTCAACAATACTGTAAGAATTTTTTAAACAAAAACAACAATGACAATAACAAACGAGTGCTAAAGGTGCATAAAATGCCACTTATACAACCTGGATCGTTAATCGCAACGAGCCTGGAGAGACACATACTATAGCCTTATTTACTGTCCATTTACGATCTTGCTCGTACTTTTGATGACAAAAGTGGTAATTTATTTCATTTCAGTATCGTTTAGTTTTGTTTCACAGGAAAAATTGCAAAAATTGTGTAGAGTTGTTGCAAACAAGTTAGTTTTAACAACGTTCTTCCGATCCTAATCCAACTGAAAACAAAACAAATCGTCCGGCATCCTAACCTTGCCTACAAGTAGACTAAAGGTAGTGGTTTGTCAGTTTTCCTTCCGTTTAAACAAATGGTAGTGGCGGTCATGAGCAAAGGATAAAGATCTATTAGGATCTTCCCCTTGTCTGTCAACATCCAGTTCCTTGATGGTAAAATCCTCCCCGTAAATTTCATTCCTCAGTTCATTGGAAATGCTAGCCGGCGGCCTAATTCCAC